TTATCTTCATGTTTACTGCCGTTCGTATTTTCACTACCGTTCGTATTTTCACTGCTGTTCGTATTTTCACTGCCGTTCGTATTGATATTGCTATCGTCAGTTTTATTATCATCACCATTGTTTGTATTGCTACCACCACCTTTGTCTTCACCTTTACCCACGCTATCGTTATCATTCTTGTTGTCGCCCTTGTCATCCTTGTTAACTCCCTTGTTGTCACCGCCCCCGCCATCATCCTTACCATTGCCATCTCCGCTTTCACCACTTGAACTTCCCCCAAATGGTAAACCAAAATCGAGGGAAGGCCCTAAACCAAGCTGTAGACGTGTACCGATACTTACATTACCAACAGATTTTTGTCTACTGAAACCAATATCAATACCAAATGATGGTTCGCTTATGACTGTATTTCCCTTACTTAAACCACCCCCAACTACACTTAATTTAATACCCGATTCACCTTTGTTTATAACTACGTTGTTTTCTTGGTTACTGACTAAAGTAATATCCGCACTAAGCTTTATTTTATCATCCTTGTTCTTTCTAATATTGACATTTCTTTTTTGAATATTGATTCCAGTAAATTCTGCTTGACCGTCCAGTTTGAGGTTTCTTCCTATATTGTTTTTCTTCATGGAAACATCAAGACCCTTTTCTATATTGGTGATATTCTCTTGATAGTTGACAAGTGTTGCTTTTGCACGTGCAGAAGTAACTATATTCCCATTGCCAATAACATTCTCTTTACAACTTGCACTAGCTCCCGTAATATTGACAATGTCACGTTCTATATTAATCCCGGTTAAACTTGCTTCAAAATTGGATACTCTGTTGAAATTTCCAATCACATTTTTGGAAGCACTCAAATCAGCGCCTGTCGCATTTATATTTCCTACTCTGCTGTTGATCAAATTCATATTTATACGTTTACTGTCTACCTTGTTATAGGAACCGACTACATTATCGTAGGCAACCTGATTTACTACACTAGCTTGAATATTTCCATGTGAGAAATTAACAAGACTTTTATTTTGATCATTAATTTTCACATCATTATTTGTTCCGATAACATTTCTACTGTTATCTAAATCAAAAGCCGTCATTTCGACTTTATGTACTTGACCATTAACCTTAGTAAAATTATCGTGACTGATATTCACTTTTTTTTTGTTTCCTAGTACATTTCCGCAAATAGTTAGATTAGCAACTTGGGCATGAATTTCTTTTCCTTTAATTAAGTTTTTACTTTTTTCTGATAAAATTGATTTTTTGCCTATAGTTTTATGATCACAGCCTCCATCCGTAAGATTCTTAAGACCATCCTTTTCACCGTTGCAAGCTGAAAATGTTGGCATGTCTAAATCGCTATCGTCATTATCATCCTTATCATCTTTATTATCCTTATTATTGTCGTGATTAGAACCATTAGGACCATTAGGATCATTATGACTATTAGAATCGGCTGCAATATTTTCAAGTGCAACTTTTAAATCATTTACTTGCTTCTCAGCTTTTGATACTTCTTTGGCATAAATGGCTTTATCACCACGATAAATAATTCCGTTTCGGATGTATGTATTTTTTTTCTTTGAAGGTTTCATATTTATGATTTTTACAAGGATGTTTGCTGACTTTTGTTTCGCTAAAATAGTAGATGTTTTTTTTTTTAATTGTATTTAAGTAATCATGCAATAAGCTTATGAAAGGTTTATCGTCATTTCACAAAGTATTTGGGTAACAAAAAGGTATGCTAATTTGACCCGATATTATGCAAAGCCAGAAATTTTTCACACGATATGCGTAAGGATCGATCAGAGAATATGATACAGTGTTTGTAGTAGGGATATACTTGCGCAAGATGACGCTCGATTTCGCGCACTTTGCACAAGATGACATCAACCTTGCGCGAGGTAAAACATTCGATTAAGATAATTTTAATAATCAATGGAACATCAATGTAAAAAGCTTTTTTAATTAAGATAAATAAACTATGTTCTATTAAATAAACTACGTCCTATTAAATAAGCTACGTTCTTGTTACATCATATTATTTGTAAATTATTATACATTTTATTTTGTTTCAATTTTATAAATTATCAATTTATTAAAAATTTTCAGTTAGCGGATTTGTACTATCTAATAAATTGAGAAACCCACCTTCAATAACTCTGGTTAATTTGCTAATAATTTGGCCTGATTTAATATTATAGTTAGACTTCTCTAAATGCAACTCTATTAAATGCAAACCAATACCGTACCGCACTGAGCAAAAGACCCTCTTTCTGAGTACCCACCATGCAAGAGATCCGGGTATTTTACATGGATATTTTTTTCCACCAAGTATAATAGTATTTTGCAATTATTTGATATAGGATTTTGTAAAAGACCCGTGTATATTACAGTATTATATTTAGGGTTCTATTTTTTATACCCCAAATTTATTATTCATACCCCTGAAGATTTAACTTTTTTTAAAAAATTTGAGCAAAGATGTCTCAGTAATTACCAAGTCAAATTTGATAAACTTTTTTCTTTTGAATTCTATAACTTCATAGAATTCAAATAAAAAAAAGTTCATTGAATTTGGCCTAGTAGTTGCTAAGATATCTCTACTCAAAGTTTTAAACTTTAAGTGAAGATATCTCAACAACTACCAAGCCAAATTTGATGAATTTTTTTGTTTGAATTCTATGAATTTATAGAATTCAAATAAAAAAAGTTTATCGAATTTGGCCTAGTAGTTACTGAGTTGTCTTTGCTTTAGGTTTCAAAATATTCAAAACATTTATCAAAACAGCTGTATCACAATTTTTTCTAAACTTTGAGTGAAAATATTTCAACAATTACAAGTCAAATTTGATAAATTTTTTTTTGTTTGAATTCTATAAACTCATAGAACTCAAATAAAAAAATTTTATCAAATTTAGCTTGATGGTTGTTAAGATATTTTCACTCAAAGCTTAGAAAAAATTATAACAGTTTCTATTTTGATAGATGTTTTAAATTTTTTTGAAACTTTAAGCAAAGATAACTCAGTAACTATTAGGTCAAATTTAATATTTTTTTTAATTTAAATTCTATAGATTCATAGAATTTAAACAAAAAAAATCATCAAATTTGGCTTA